TTCCATGCCTAACTCCGCCTAGGCTCTACCCGTCCATGGGATGGGTGCTTTTTAGAACACCAAGTCATCTATAATTTCTAATTAATCCTGCATTTTGGTTTAAACATGTAGGACAGATTTCATTGTAAAAAGCTTCTGTGTTTGTGTTTTATGTTAAAAACAGAAGTTTTGGGCATGAATGTGTTATATGTGTATGAGGTCACTTTGGTATAATGGGATGTGTGTTGTTTGTATGGCCAATGCACATTATATGAATATCCCTCTTCCAATCCATGCATGTATTGCTCCATCAACCTCCTGAGATGGTGGATGACCTCCGTAGTACATGTCCTGGGCATAAATCCGAATTGGTTCTCGGAAATAATCCCCTCTTCTCATTCTTCTCTCAATCAGTAGTTCCCAAACCTTCTATAATGTCCAAAAGAAGTTAAACTTCAGCTCATATTAGAAAAATGTAGTTTTTCTGCTCATCAATGAGGACCCAGGACTGAGAAGATTTTTTAGCTAACGGCCCTCTTTGAACGGATATGCAGGAACCGCGGCCTGCCCACAGGGCAAGTTCTATTGCAGGAATATGGGCAGCACACCCAAATTTCTGTTTTCATCTCAAGTAAACGATCAAATTTGTGGTATGGACTCTATATAATCACGTTTGTGTGCTACTTAGTTTTTTTTTCTTTCTTTCTTTCAAATGATCAATAAAGTAACGTACCATATGCTACCTAGTTGTTTAGATTCGCTTTTTCCAAATTTAGTTCCATTTTTTGTTCCAAATCATCTGCTGCTTCAACCATTTGTGTAGATTGCTGTGACGGAAGCGATGAAAATGATGGCACCATTAGCTGCCCTAATAGTTGTGTTATGGGTGGGAATTCGGCCTATCAGATGAGAAGTCATAGCTCACAAGATAATTCAGTTTCATTTGGCAGAAAAGCAACTAGAGCTGGCATTAATGCAGAGGACTCAATACAGAAAGTTAAAGGTAAAAGCATTTGCCAATTAGTAATATTGCAATTTCTCTTTGTAGAAGGGAGTTGTTGAATGACCTTTTTTCCAGGTTTGAAGATGTTGGTAGTCCTACAGGTACTTATTATTGTTATTGTTGTGGGCATCCCACTTTTCTGCCGACGCTCCAGATTGAGAAGAAGGCATTCTCGTTGATGGCATTGGAAGTCCCGGATCTTGAAGATGACATTCTCGCTTATGGTTGTTTGTTGGATTGGTTTTTTTGGCATCATAGTCATCCATGGCTCTAGTTTTATGAAATGATCCAATTTTTCAATAGAACTTCCATATATCAAGATTGGTTCTCTATTCTACTTAAAACCAACAGTTTAAAGGTTGTGAACTCTCAGTTGGATGAGTTGATGAAGTTGTTAATGTAATCCTTTAATATAATAAAAGAGACTCGGATGCATAAAAATTCGACATTTGGCATGTCTATGTGGCAAAATTTAAACATGTCAGCATGCCACGTAATATCCGAAAAAACCAGCGGAAATACATTATATACGATGCACCATCGGATCTCCCGTTGAAAACAATTGACCGCAGATTTTCTACGCGATAATCACTGGCCTCCAACGAAATTCTTTCCTTCAGATTACAACAATACGAACTCCTATTATGATGATAATATAAAATAATTAAAAATAAATATGAAAAAAATATAAATACAAATTAAAAAATAAATATAATATTTTTCATTTAATATGAATAGAATTTTAGGACCATGCTACATATATTAATCCTTTACCAAGGAATTCTCACCATAATAAAGTCCTTCCTAAAATAAAAAAGGTAAGTAAATAATTAATTGTGAAACTCTCATAATAGGGTCGTGCATTAGAAAATGATTCATGCATAGCCATGAATGGTATGATATGATTTTCAAGAATAGATTATTTCCTTAACATATGGTGATTGACAAAATTTACAAAAAATATTATTAAGAAACAATTCTAAATAGTACTAAATTTGAAAATTATGATCACGAGTATATTATTCATCACCTTACTTAAATTATGATAATATTAATATTATTTTGGAATCCTTTACTTATATATGGCAATCCTTAATTATGTATCTTGGATAATCAATAATATTTTACTGGATTCGTTTATTTTTAGTAAGCAATTTGTTATATCTAGGATGGACCCAATATTATTTTGAATTTTTTACTTATATCTAACTGGCAATGAGTTAAATTGCTCACTTTTATATCCAAATTTATGGAAACTCTTATATACTTGGGTCAAAATCCTATTATAAAAAGAGATATATAATGCGTTGAAATGTGACATCCACCACCCATTTTCAATTTCCATTTCAATACATAGGCATTCAGAATTAATTATGCAATAAAGAAGCAGAGAATCGTTAATTCAACTTCAGCCTTTTGTTTTTAAAAGGATTGGTAGTAGGAGCATCCTATTTTTCAATTTCAATTGGGGCTATGGAAAATCAAGTTGACGATACATGAATGAGATCAGCTAGAGATGTAAGAGAAAGGAGAAAAGGAATACTTCAACAAAAAAAGGACATAGAAAATGTACGTACTTTAAATATTGTTTTATCTTAATATATTTAATTTTGTTTTATTGTTTTAAGGTAATTTGATACATAACAATTTTGAATTTTTTAAAATAACAAAATCAAACGGGATATTTTAGTGACAAGAATTTTTGTATTTAAAATTTATATGGTTTCTTTTTAATGAGCATTGAAAAATTTTCTTATTTTCATATCTAAATTGTTAGTATAGATAAATTAATTTATGTTAAATAGATAAAGTTTTGAACAAAATTTAAAATTAGATGTCAATTATAGAAGGATTTAACAAATTCTCCATGTGAAAATGAACACTCCAAGAAAAGATTACATAAAAATATGTGTACTTTTTTAATTATAGTAATGTTATTTTATCAATTCTAATCTGCATCCGTAAAAAAACTAAACGTCGTTCATAGGTTTCATAGAAATCATGGATAATTAAAATGTATAATTGTTGATTTATCTAGGTATGCATATAGCTCACGGAGTATTTTTTATCAATTATTTACATCAATATGAATAAAATGATGTCTAACCATGACTCTTTAATTTCACTTTTCTATATTTTTAATGGAGAAAAAATAGTTTATATATATTGAACATTTTAAAAAATTGAATGGACGAATATTAACAAAGTTGAGTAAAAATATATTCATATTTAAAAAAATCAAAACTTTGCAATAAATTTGATATGAAATGGGTGAATATAAAAAAATGTGAGTACATATTTTAAAATAAAATGATATGCATCCGAGGAAAAAATTAGGCATTGATACGAAATGATCAATGTAAGTAATTCAAAGTTCAAATATAATTTTTAAATTGGAAAATTTACTTATACCTAACATGTAATTCATTTATCAAAATGACAACTAAGGTGTGTTCAACTGAAATAACTGATACTCCATATATATATTCATAGTCAGAGAAATTTACCTAAATAACACTAAAACATAATGACTTTCCCTAAATAGCAACATATGTTCTTTATTTCTCAATGTAGCACTTTTAGTCATTATCCATTAGTCATTATTTAGATAAATGTTCACCGTCACATATATTATTTCTCCTTCTAGACATTATTAAGTGTTATTTAAGGGATAAAAAGTTTAAGTCTTATATTGGGAAATGACTTATGTTTTAGTGCTATTTAGTTCAGATATGAAAAATGAAAAATTTGAAAAATTATATTGGGAAAAAGTTTGTAAAATGAAAAATGAAAAATGAAAAAATGAAAAATTTGAAAAAAGAAAAATGAAAAATTTGAAAAAGTTTAAGTCTTATATTGGGAGACTTATGTTTGAGAATATGAAAAATTATTTTTTTTTGAGGATAGAGCACTATTGGCACCAACTCTCAAAATAGTTGAAATGATAAATGAATTTGTTCTGTCTCTCATTCGTGGTGATGAAAAAGAGTACTTGAGTTCTGATTCTTCATGCCAAACAGAAGCAGATGTAGGTGTTGATGACGATTGGATAACAGTTGAGTTTTTAAACGAAATCAAATGTTTGGGAATTCTAAACCACGAAATAGTCTTTAAAAAAGGGGTACCGATTATGCTATTGAGGAACATTGACCAAACATCTGGATTGTGTAATGGGACAAGATTAATTGTTCAAGAGCTGCGAAATAATGTTATCGGTGCAATTGTGGTTTCGGGAAATCGAGTCGGGGAAAAAGTTTACATCACTAGAATGAATTTGGTACCATCTGATCCAGGGCTACCCTTGAAAGTTACAAAGAAGACAATTCCTGATCGCCTCATGTTATGCTATGACTATCAACAATAGTCAAGGTCAAACATTGTCATTTGTGAAATTATTTTTAACCAAGTCAGTATTCACACATGGTCAACTATATTTTCCTGTTTCAGAAGTGAAGACAAAGACAAGATTAAAAATATTAGTTCTAGATGACAACTGAAACCCTTGCAATCATACCAAAAATGTTGTATACCTTGAAGTCTTTCAGAAAATTTGGTATTAAAATAAACATTATTAACTCTACATTCTGTTTCTCAAATATTATTTATTTTACTTTGGCTTTTTTCATTTGTAGTATTAAAAATCATGTGAGCAATATATTTTATTTATTCTGAAAAATAAATTTTATTGAAATAATTCAGAATCGACATAAATTTCTTTCGATCCCGTGCAAGGCACGAGTCAGAATACTAGTTCGATTGTATTTCCACTATTTTCATGCTCTAAAATGATGACATTTACCGATTAAGACTCCATTTACAACAATCCAGTAGAATCCCACAACTGCAGGATAGAATCCCACAAATGCAGGGTCTTGAGATGGTATGTGTTTTCCTTTAATGAAAGTAGAGAGGCAGTAGATTAAAGCTCCATTTGGTTGTCGCAAAATAGCTCCCCTTGTTTAATGTTTTTAAGAAAGATCATTACCCGGAAAGAAATGGAGCCTCAAGGCTTCTTGATTTGGATGGAGGATAAGTGTGAAGGGTGTTAGAAATTCAGTATACGTAGAACGTGAAGAATGACTTGATAGACTTGGTAAATTGTATATAAATGTTTTTAAATTAAAATTATTTCTGGATATACCAAAGTAATTGAATCAGATAAGACGTAATTAATATAAAACAAGTACGGAAGTTTGTGCATCTCAAAACATACCTTGTGTCTTATATTTATAGACAAATTTTCGAATGGACATGTTGGTTGATGATACAATCCAACTTTTCGGGTAACATTTGAATGTTTGCATTCAAACATTTGAATGTTTATAACAGTTTATAATGAATAGTTATTTTTGCATTTTGTGCGAAAAGTTGCATCTTATCATAAAACATTCAAATCTATGGGAACAAACATTTGAATGTAGTTAAAAAAAACATTCAAATATATTGTTTTATACATTCGAATGTACATCTCTCCGTTTGCAAAAATCCAAAGAATTTTCATGAAAAAATGATGTCCAAAATAAAAAAATCAGTTGTCCCGGCAGCTTGACCCTGTTTAGACGCAGGACAGCTCGACCCTGGTCAGGGACTCAACAACTTGGACCCAGCTACATGGAGCTACAACCTCCAGACCCACGCTATGGAATTTGTAATATCGTTAAATGAACGTGCACTCTGCACTTCCAAACTCGTTAACAACGTCAATTAAAATTCTAATCTATTTTAGATAAATCTAATTACATAAAATATCAAAAAAGGTAAGAGTGAATAAGTGTAAGTAATTAATTATTTGTTTGAAAGTTCAATTTCACTCTCACGCATTCTATTTTTGTGTGTTAGAAAATGAGAGTAAGGTCATGTTCTCTTCACGTGATCTGATTGGAATAAGTTTGGATCTAATTTGATCTGGTTTGGTCTGATTTGAATATAGTTATATTTAAAGCTGTTTTTTATCTAACCTGTTTCCAATACAAAAAAAGTAATACTCCGTAAGTAATAAGACTAGGTTGAAAAAAACATGCCCTAAATGTGTGTGGATGGACTCATCTTCAACCTTACCTTCTAAAAAAATCTCAAATAAGAATAAGGAATGCTTTTATGCCAAAGACTTCACTTGACATGTTAAACTAAAAAAAATACTGTAACTGAAGAGTTAATTGTTGTACACAAAAAAGGTAGGTGATAGGAGACAAAATTGTTTGTTAATATGTTTCCGGAATATGAATTAATTTTGCCATAAAGAATGTTCTATCTTTAACTTTAATAATATTGTATGCACATCTTATTATCTTAAACTTAAAAATGAGGCTTACACCTCGAGCCTTACGCAATAGGCCATTTTGAACCTTGGTCACCATATTAAAAAACAAGAAGTTATAAGCTGTAAAAAAAGCCTACTAAACAAACTCTTCAGATAATTTTTTTTAAATAGATTTTTGCCATTCATGGTTGGCTGGCTTCAAATGCCAGGTGACTGAAGCCACCATATGCCATCTCAAAACATTTTTTGTCAAACTAAAAGCAAAATACAAGCAGTTGACAAACTTTTGAAGTTCAAAGGATTACAAACAAAATACATGACCAAGAATGCAATACAATACCATTTGCACCAGTCGAAAGTTTCAAAACCTGCAACTTCGCACAAGTAACGTCCCAAGAACACATCTTTCCTACACCTTACTCAGCTTTTGGTTCTGTTGGAGGATCATTCGGCGTTTCAACAGTGATGTGAGCCGCTTGCTGAGTTTTCAGAGCTTTTCTATTGTCATGCAATTCTTTGAGATTGTCAGAAAGACCAGTCAGCTTGCTTCCAAGTGCAAGAACTTTTTCCATATACATCTCAAATTCAGTAGCGAAAACTTCTTCTGCCTCTTTTGCCCTCATCTCCAGAACCATGCAGCTTGACCTAAACTCATCTTGCTGTTTGAGACGAAGCGCTTCAATTTCAGCAGTGGTCAACACTAGACCGCCGGGTCCCGCGTCCTTGTAAATTGGTTCCTCGGGAAGCTGAACTCGCAGCCTATAGTCAGCGAATTCCTGGCGAGTACTCTTCAATGCCTTCCTATAAGCATCCAAAATATTGCCCATTGTGAAAAGTTCCCTTTCGAGTCGATAAATCTGGGCATCTCTTTTTTTAATCTCTTCATACATATTGTTGTTAATCTGTTGGATCGCGTTGTCACGCTTCTGCACCTCTTCAAGCAAAAAATGAGTGTGCACAGTGAAGTCGTGATCACTTTTCTCCCTTGCATCATTCAATATCTTAGCTCTTGCCACCAAACTTTGTATTCGTTCGATGCATGACATGAGGTCATCTGGTTTATCAGAGGGAGCTTCTTCCATCCTCATTCTCTTATTTGCACCCAGAGAATGAGTGGCCATGGAATGGTCGCCGTCATCATCAATCCCTCTTTTAGAGCTGTGGTTGAAAAAATCCACTGCCTGATCTGGAAGAAGAAGCCCATCCGAGGGAAACACAATATCTGCAGCTTGATGTATATCTCCAGCAACAGTCTCAACATTGTGCATAACAGCGAAATCATCATCATTGTCCCCGTCTTCTTCTTCTTTGCATTCTTCTTTCTTTATCTCTTCTTTGATTTTCTCTTTCTTACTACAGCGCTGCAAATAAAGCCTATATTCTTCTTCCTCTTCATCTACTTCTTCACCATCATCTTCACCATCATCATCATCATCATCATCATCTTCTTCTTCTTCTTCTTCTTCGCATTCTTCTTCCTTTATCTCTTCTTTGATTTTCTCTTTCTTACTACAGCGCTGCAAATAAAGCCTATATTCTTCTTCCTCTTCATCTACTTCTTCACCATCATCTTCATCACTATCATCATCATCATCTTCTTCTTCCTCCTCCTCCTCCTCATCAGCATCTTCATCATCATCTTCTTCTTGTTCTACATGCTCCTCGGAATCTATCATCTCCACATCTTCTTCCATATCCGGGCCCAATGTGAGCTCAACATTTGGCTCTTTGAACACAGCCCCTTCTTCTTGACCCACTTTCACATCACGCTCACCTTCCTCTTGCTTGTTGTCTCCTTCCACATTGTTATGCTCCTCTGTGAACATCTCGTCTTTGTTTTGTAACTTTTCAGGTTCATCGGTAAAGATATTGTCTTTAAGGAGTAGTGCCTTCTGAGGTTCCTCATTCAACAATTCCCCTTCATGTTGAGCCTTCTCGGGCTGCTCGTTCGAAAATTCCTTTTTGTTTTGAGCCTTCTCGGACGGGTTCTCGCTTAACAACAGCTCTTCACGTTGTGACCTAATTAAACACTGCAAATGTGAAGCATAGTAACAGTCCTCCAACTGCTCCCCACATGAAAACTCTTTCTCCACCATGAACCAGAACAGCCCAGGCCAGTCTACCTTCTCTGGGTGCTTGTTCTTGATAAGTTTCAACCAGCTCACCACCTCATCCGGCATTATCCACGTGTCCTCGTGCAAGAGCACCCAATTTGACACAAAATCTTCAATGAATTCAATGGATTCATCGGACAAGGACTCCCCATCCAATTCAGCACCCTTCTCCTTCTTCACATGCAACTTTAGAGCCCGTCCTAAATCGGCTCTATTCACAGCGATCCTATATCCATTCACATAGCTAGCCCTAAGTCTCGGATCATACCATACAACCAACTGGGCAATCAAATCTGCCCTAATATTTTGATCGAACTCAATGTGAACAAAGTCCCACAACCCCAGCTGCTTCAACAGCTTCTCGTGTTTGTTAAAATCAAAATTCTTGGCGGGCCTAAAGGGGATAGGGTTCAAACTCCTCTCAAGGGCACTCAATTTCTTCTCCATAGCCTGTACCCTCTTGGCGTTATTACCCTTCTTACGCTTGAAAACGCGCTGGATAGGGTTGGATGGCGACGCCGAATTGGCATCAAGCAAGTTTCCACCGATCGGTGGAGCAGCCGCCGCCTCAGAAGAAGAAGAAGAAGGAAGTCGAGGAAGAGCCTCACCTGATAATTCTTCCTCGGGGTTTTCTTCAAGGCGGGATTCCGGGCCTTCTCGAGCAGGGATTTCTTGATTTTGAGGGTTGTCTCGGTTCTGGGGCCGTGAATGAGATCTGCTTGGTTCATCTTGAATAGGGGTTTCGGGGTCTGAATTGTGAGATTCTGAAGCACTCGACATTCTGAATTTGCTCAGATCCAGTGGAAGTGAGAAGACAAATGCCGCCGATTGAGCCCCTTTGAGGTTCAGTTGGACTAGAGTATGGGTGAGTGTAGGATGCGGGAACTTTTTGCAACTTTTGCTTTTTATTTTTAGGCGTTGCAGGAACTTTTATTTATTTTTAAGTTTTCATTGGTTATTTGATAAAATAAAATATTTTTGACACCTCTTATTTCGAAGAACTTTTCATGTAGTTTTTCGATATGTAAATTTTATTTTTTATTTCTATAGCAATATATAAATAAAATGAATTAAAAAAACTTGATATTTTACCTTGGGAATACAAGTGTGGCAAATATTTAGGGACGGAGAGAGTATATTTTTGGTTCCTTATAAGAGTTTACACTATGAAATATGCAAAACTCTTTATTTCAAAACAATTAAAAGTACATTTCAAATGAAGAAAGATAATAAATTGAAAATTGATAAATTAAATGTTAGAAATACTTATAAAAATTAGTTTAATTTTTACTTCGTACGGAGTATTTCACAAACAAAAAGAAAACAAATGATAACAAAATACCGAGTAATATTTTAAATGTTTGTTAATTTTTTTATATTCATCTATAAAAAATTAAAATTCAAACAAATGATTGTCTAAATAAAAGATTATTTGTTACGGAGTATAATTCTATGCTTGAACCAACTTATACAAATCAATTTTTTCTTTAATGAAGAAATATAAAAATATTACTGGTTATTATTTTAATAACATATTCATATTTATGTTAGGTTCGGCATTTTTTGGTATGGAAAGTTAACTTGTACCGATCCCAATACCAGACCGACAATTTGGTTTGGAATGGTACAATTTTTTTTGGTATTTTATCGGTTTAGTATTTTTTGGTCCAGTAATCTTGTTTTTTCAGGAAATTTCGAGATCGGTTTGGTACTTTGCTCATCCCTAGCTACTTAAAGGTGGCAACAGGAATCGGTTTGGGTTTGAAATAATTCGATGGAGAATTTAATACCACTAGTCATTGTTCACTGATCATTGTTTAAGTAATTGTCCACTGTCACTGGATATTGTTTAATACCACTAGACATTGTTCCTGCCACTTGACATTATTCAAGTACTATTTAGAAAATAAAAAAATTTAAGTACTACATTGAGAAATGACATACGGAGTATATTTTAGTATCATTAAGTGCAAATTTCACTAATTCGATTATGATATTTTTCAGATATATGTTATAATTGGTTCGGATTGAATCAGTTCTATTTAATTTCGTTTGGATTTAAATAGATTCGTACCCATACGTTGCACGGCTACTAATTTAGATGCGTGTAATATATAATTATAGTGATTTCGTAATAGGAAAAAAATGACGTATATTAATGAAAGTATTTGATTCGTATGTAAATATTTCAAGAATTACAAAGTAAACGTAAGGAATATTGGTAGGAGTATAAAACTACAAAGTTGAAGAGATTAAAGGTTCTGAAAAATTTCTTTGTAATGGGTACTTCGTCCTTGCTAATTAACATCTTTAACCTACGGCGATTAGTTACTTGAGAGGCGGTAACATATACTTGTCCATGGCTAAAGACTGGCTTTTTGAGAAGTAATCCTACATGGTTCAATGATTGGTCCTAATGTTTGTTAATAACAAGTATTTAAACCCATGCATTGCACGGAGAAAAGTTTTACCAAATTTTAAATTATAATTATTAAAAAAATAATTTATAAGTATAAATTTAATTATTGTCATTATTTTTCTTAGTTAATGACAATGGCCCCGCTTCATTAGAAATTTGCCACATTATTTTTAATACTATTAAAATAAATTATTATACATATCAAATAAGTGCTTTATAAAGAATATCGTTCTTTACAAATGAAAATAAGTACTCCCTAATTGTCTTCAAATTGCATTATATGATCAACAATGGCAAAAACCAAAAGCCTCCTTTTTCAGTTTCTTGTTCTTTTTCTTCGTGTTTTCCCAGCCATACTTTCTTCTTTTTTGTTTTCCTTTTTCTTCATTTTTTTCTTTGATCTCATGACATCTTGTTTACCTTCTCAAGAGTAGAGACCTAAGCAAACCAAATTATTACAAATGACGTAGCAAATAATTATTGTCGGAATCAAATCCAAATTCACATATAGTGACAATAAGCTCTTGATCTCATCATAGCATGCTCAGCTGTAAACCAAATGTAGTAAAAATAACATATTATCATAGCATGCTCAAGTGTAAAGAGTTCAATTTTCATTTTTATCATCACCCAGATTATTACAAATGAGGTTTAATAACACCAAGCTCAAATCTATATACATTCATAAGGTCAATACACATTCAATGCTCGATCAGGGGCGAATACTGAATGGTCTAAATGGACCATATTTGAAAAACGTCAAATACTCATAACTTGCTTACGATAAAAGTGGCCAATTAACATGAAAAATTATACTAACTTGGCATATTTTAAATAGAAAGCTAGAATCTCGTCTCCCATTAGAACAAAATCACCAACCTATTTCAGATTATAGTCATTTAAACCTTTCAATATTTGACTCATTAAACACCTTAGTCACTTGACTTTTTTGCATGGAAACTGTTGAAATTATAAAAAAATTTACTTTACCAGTGAAAAGTACTTTTACTAATATGTAATAACAAATATGAACAAATTGAGTGGTTGAGGAAGATAAGCCCCATTGATATGTGAGTGAGCAACTAAAACAACTTACAACAAACAATTAACTCAATTAAAATGGTTTAAGAATGAGAGTCTTACATTGTTGAGACTTGGGATACTTACTGAAGATTACCCCAAGGAAGAAATTATGAATTTTAATTTTGCACTAGTTTTAGGTTGAGATGAGACATTTTCCCCCAACAACTCATGTTATCCCTGTAGTGGCTAAAAAAACTCAAGTAAAAAAAAAAATAAAAGAATACCAAAATATACAGAAGAATATATACTAAGCAATTAGGAAGTTAAAATGAAGTACAACTAATTATTAAGAAAATCATGATCTTTTTAGCACCAAAATGCATTTATTATTTTTATGAACCTCTCGAATTCATCCAAAGGATCTAAGACCGAAAATGTGTGTGGGAAATAAAAAAAATATAAGAAACATGTTCCTTCTTAATTATCTCACTCATACCTATATAAACATATCTGTGAATTTCGTAGCCTTCCACAAAGGAGGAGAAGGGTATATAATTGTCCTTTCTTTCCTTAAAGAATCGGTGAACGCATATAGATGATCTTGAAGGCCATTAGATTCAAAACTCTATAAACACAACAAATAAAATTTACATCATCTTATAAAATAGAGATGGAAGACATAAAATTGAGAGTAAAAATATGATCTGATCCCCTAACTATATAAAGCTTTCAAAATTGTTAAAGTTGTTAACTGAGTTACTTAAACTAAAGTTGGTCTTTATTAAGGAAATTCACACTTAGGGATGTTCTTTAGGACTTGAACTCTTAACTTCCAATTCTTTCCAGTTCTTTCCAGTTTTTTCCAGTTTTTTCCAGTTTTTTCCAGTTTTTTCCAGTTTTTTCCAGTTTCTTCCAGTTTTTTCAGTTCCTTCCAGTTCCTTCCAGTTTCTTCCAGTTTTTTCCAGTTTCTTCTAATTTCTTCCAACTATATTTATTTTTTTCAAATTCTTTCTACTTTCTGGCAAATCACTCTAAAAAATATATTATTATTATTACAATTTTTTTAATTACAACTTTTATGTTCATAACTATAGTTTATAAATTATTTCATTTTTTCATCTCACTATTTTTATGATTTACATTCATTATTTTTTTCTTCAACTTTTTAATATGAATAATACCATTTTTTGTATATTAATCTACATGAAAAATTAGGAAACTATTTAAAAAATTATGGTTAAATAGTTATATAGAATATTTTTTAATCTAAATTTATATAAGGTAAACATCAATATTTTAATCTAAAATATAAAATCTGGAATGTAGTGGGGAGTACTACATTATGAAAACAAGCAAAAACTACATTTTGAAAAAGAAAAAAAGACCCAAGAAATGTAAAATGGAAATTCAACTAACAAATAACATCACCAATAATTAAAATACAACTAACAAAAAAAGTTATAGTTTCATTTATTTGATTTACTTTTTAGTGTCTCTAATATGTAAAATAGTGTGCATATAAATATAAATAATCCAATCATTCTCAACATAATCATATTGTAAAAATAAACTATAGTTCGTATATAGTACCTTCATTATTTAAGTTTAACTACATTGTAGGATATTAAGTGTTAGTTCATCTCTAAACTGTTTCATTGCATCTTTAATTTGTTCATCAAACAGCATCATCTTTTTATGTATGAGAAATAATATTCGTAATATTTTTTTATTTTAAAGACAATCATTTAGATAACGTGATAACACCACCACTACCACCACCACCACCAACAACAACAACAATAACAACAACAATAATATTTCCAGTTTTTTCCAATTCCTTCCTGATAGAATTTAGGATAGGGTATGGACAACTAGATTGAGCAATAAGATACTTGGGTTAAACCACATTAAAAGATTGAATCCAATCGATTAGTTAGTTCAACTCTAGAGCTTATATACCAATTATTTTACCCTTGGATTTCCGATGTGGGATGTACTCTAACACTCCCCCTCAAGTGGACAACCGGGCCATTTTGAATCTAACCGGTTGACCACTTGTAAATGAACTCTCATTCCCTTTACTTTTTTTTGAGCGCCAACACCTAAAGGACCACGAGCCGCTGGGTATGGACTTCCAGACGAGCAATCGTGTTAAGCAGGCCACAGGCCATTGGGTACAACCTCCATACGGACAACTGGGCTAAAGACTAACGGGCCGCTAGAAATGAACGTCTAGACGGACACCTTGAGAAACGAGGTGGGCTAAAACTGGCTTTGATACCTTGATAGAATTTAGGATAGGGTATGGACAACTAGATTGGACAATAAGATACTTGGGTTAAACCACATTAAAATATTGAATCCAATCGATTAGTTAGTTCAACTCTAGAGCTT